CAGCAGCAAGGGGGAAGAAGGCGGGCAGGCAGGCAGAGGCAAACATGGAGGCTGCGGCAGGACACCAAGAGCCTGTTTCAACAGCAGCAGGCCAGCTATGGCTGGTCAGACCAACTTTCCCTGATCGGACTCCACCTACTCAGACTAGGAGGCAGGACTCCTACAAAAGAAAAAGAACTGGACTGGTCCTCTGAAGACAGGGCTCTGGGCCTGTCACGGACCCAGACTGATCACAAGTGCCCTGAGCCTCAGTCTCCTCAATACTCTGAGGGTAATTATTGCAACCTTGATTCTCCTCCCCTCTGGACTGTCTTGAGTAAAGGGCTTATGTAACGAAGACGACAATGAAAATGGTAATCCTAATCATAGCTAGCACTTGATGACTACCTGGCCCAGAGCAGATGACAGCAGCAGCAGCCGCCGCCGCCGCCACCTTCCACCACGACTGCTCACTGCATGTCTACTGTAGCCAGGTCTGTGCTAGGTGCTCTACGTACTGTACCTCAGTAAAACCTAACAACCACCCGCAAAGTAAAAACCATGATCGGCATTTTTAGGTAAGGAAACTTAGGCTAAGACTCATAAGGTCATAATTAATACCCACAGCTCCATATGACTCTAAAGCCTCTTCCGGTCTGTTCTTTCTATACGTATTCCCTCTAAAAACTGGCCTGAGGGATGACTTGGATCTGCAACCGGAAGACTTCCTGGCACTAACACGCTGCTCGTCTCGCATCTGTCCGCAACAGCTCTGCTCTTCCCAGCTGGATAACCCCCAGCACGCATGCACTCACAAAGACTGAGCACATCCTGCCAGCTCCATTGAAGATTTATTCTTCCTGGGGCAGGAAGTGAGGCCTTCCTGACCATACTGCATTAACCACTCTAATGGACTGGCTTCCATTCATAATTTTGTAACCACGGGGCAGGCACGCGTGACAGTCAACATTTTTCTTTCCCTTGGCCAGCTTCTCATAAATGTTCTAGCTCTGTCAGGAGCTGCCCACCACCCACCTGCCTCCCACTGAAGGCTGTAAGGCCTAAGGGGCCAGAGACAGAACAAGAATGGGCTTCAGTGCCTAACCTCAGCTCTGCTATGGTCCTGCAGCCCAGAACACAGAGTCAAAAGACTCAACCCAGTCCCTGCAAATCACTGACAGCACAACCCTACAAAACGTTATCTATACTCCCTGAGCCCCAAACTCCTCATCAGCAAAAAGGGAATATTATCTATTTCACAGGTTTTTTTTTTAAAGAAATTTATTTAATTTTATTATTAATTCTTTTTTTCTAACTTGACTAGAGAGAGAGAGAAAGGGAAAGTGAGAAAGCAAGTTGTCAGGCCCAGGATTTGAACTGTCCTCAGTCATGTGGGAGTCTAGTGCCTTAATCACCATGCCACCTGCCAGCTTCCATAGGGTTCTTTTTAAGATTGGTATAACTGCCTCTATTTTATCTCCACATTAAATTAGCCACTTTTATTATCCTTACTTCCTCGCCATTATTTTCACTTTAAGGTGGATTCTCAATGTATACACAATGGAAATTGTGTTCTCTTGTATTTATACATGATTTTGGTGTCTGAGTGCTTATGTGGGACTGAATCTTCTGCACAGTTCCTGACACAAGAAACAGCATAAAGCACATGCTCTATGCATGTGCCAAATACTCTGTGCAATAAGTACATGAGTAAAATGGTAAATACGCAGTTCTTAAAGGACACGTTGTATTTGCACCCGCAGCTTTACTAAACTCAACACTTTTATGAGATACATATTATACACATTTTATTAAGAAAATAAAATTTGGGGCCAGCAGGTGGCATGGTGGCTAAGGTGCTGGATACCACGGTTCAAGTTCTGGGCCTGGTGGTTTGCTTTCTCACTTTCTCTCTCTCTGTCTCTCTCTGGTCAAATTAAAATGAATAAATGAATGAACAAAAATTTTAAAAATAAATAAGTCTAAAAAATTTCAAATAACTTGCAAAGTTCATGCAAATTAGCTAAAGGTAAGCATTTAGGTCTTTGAAAACGATACACCATAATGATGATTTTTACAAGTTGACGCACACTAGACAGAGCCTCGATATTTGGATTCAAAACTTATAAAAGACTCGTAAAAGCCCAGTGAGATATGTGCTATCCGTATTAACCACGACTTTCCCAATATACCAGTGGGCTTCAACCACCAAAATTACATAAGCAGGTTCCAAGCAGCCTCCCTCAGAAGAGCCCAACTCTGTTTTTACTAGGAGAAGAGGCACCGTTCTCAATCTCTGAGTTCTAGTACTCTGAATAAGCCCTTCTCCCAGGCCATCCACAGCCCGTCTGCCAACATTTCTGCGTGGCTAAGGTGCTGGATACCACGGTTCAAGTTCTGGGCCTGGTGGTTTGCTTTCTCACTTTCTCTCTCTCTGTCTCTCTCTGGTCAAATTAAAATGAATAAATGAATGAACAAAAATTTTAAAAATAAATAAGTCTAAAAAATTTCAAATAACTTGCAAAGTTCATGCAAATTAGCTAAAGGTAAGCATTTAGGTCTTTGAAAACGATACACCATAATGATGATTTTTACAAGTTGACGCACACTAGACAGAGCCTCGATATTTGGATTCAAAACTTATAAAAGACTCGTAAAAGCCCAGTGAGATATGTGCTATCCGTATTAACCACGACTTTCCCAATATACCAGTGGGCTTCAACCACCAAAATTACATAAGCAGGTTCCAAGCAGCCTCCCTCAGAGGAGCCCAACTCTGTTTTTACTAGGAGAAGAGGCACCGTTCTCAATCTCTGAGTTCTAGTACTCTGAATAAGCCCTTCTCCCAGGCCATCCACAGCCCGTCTGCCAACATTTCTGCCTGACAACCAAAGAGTAGAGTGCAAGGAAACCCAAGTATTGCGTGTTCCCTTCATGGCTTTCCTCTGCTGAAGACAAGATCTTGGGTCAACAGGCTTCAGCAATGAGGTCAGAGTTCTCCTGACAGAATAAATAAGCAGCACGAAGAGGAGCCACCAAATAAATGGCAACTTCAATGTCTAGTGGAACCCCGGGCCAAGTAATGGCAAGGCCATTAGATGAGCATCAAAGAGACATGGGTTGAAATCTCTCGACATGGATCCTGAACTGCAGCTGTGAAATAGTGCTTTCAGAGACTTAAAATGATGGTTTTCTGCTGAGACTTCCTCATTTATTTCTAGAAAGTCACAGACCCAGGCCCATCTCCACATGGATCCTGAACTTCAGCAGTGCAACAGTGGCTTCAGAGACTTAACATGAAGATTTTCTGCTGAGACTTCTTCCTCACTTATTTCTAGTAGGTAGTATTGCCTGTATCCATTTCTCTCTGCCTCTCTGTGTCTCCCTGAGTCTTTGAATTTTTAAATTTTTTTAAGGTAAAGTATTCTCTGGGCTTTCAAGCCCCTTTGTCAATAGGTGGCTCTCCCCTTCTGTTTAGGAAAGGCACAAACCCAGGCCCATCTCCACATGGATCCTGAACTTCAGCAGTGCAACAGTGCTTTCGCACAGCGCACCACACGGTTTTCTATTTTTGCATTTTAATATTAAAATCTATAGTTTTTATTATTTATTTTTATTATTTTATATTTTCTTCTTTCCTTTTCTTTAATTCTTTTCTTTTTTTTTTAATCTTTACTCATTGGCTTCTCAGCCTCTACTCACTAAGTGTCTAGACAGGTCCAAGTGAACAGGATCTAAACATCTGAACACAGCTAGGGTCAGAATATTCCTCTATTCTCACTGATTCTGATGCACAAAGAGTGAGAATGGAACAAAAAAAAAGAGATTGTATATCCTCCTCCTGCTTGCCTCTAAACACTCAGACTGAACTTCAAGAATTAAAAGAAACGCACCATCCATCAGATGACTAGAAATCACCGCAGGGTCATAAGAAATATGGAAAAACAAGAAAATACCTCTCCTCCAAGGAAAAATAACTCCTCTTCATCCTCAGACAGTATGATGAAATTCATGGAAATGTCTGATAAAGAATTTAGAATTTTCATGGTGACAAAGCTCACAGAGATCGAAGAGAAGAGAGACAATGAACTGCAGAAGAGGCAGGGGGAAAGGAGCTGACGAGCTTCAGAAGGTGAGGAAATTCTTGCAAGATCTAAAAGAGGAATTACACACTTTAAAAAAGAATCAAATGAGGAACCAGCAGTTAGCGTAATGGCTATGTCGCTGGACTCCCTCGTAGTCGACCGCGGTTCGTGTCCCGGACCCGGTGGCTTAAAACTCATGCCGGGCGCGTGTGTGTGCGTGCCCAAGATCCCGAGAGGAGAATGGAGGAGAAGGGATTGCGGCGTGACCATCCCCCCTGGGGGGTGATTTCTCGCTTTCTGTCTCTATGTCTCTCTCTCTGTCTGTCTGGCGAGCGCACGCGCCCTACAGTGAAAATCTCTCCAAAAAAAAAAAAAAAAAAAAAATCAAATGAACCTGTTAGAGATGAAGACTATAATACAGGAAGTCAAAACTTCCCTTGAAAGTATTCAAAGCAGACTAGATCACACTGAGAATCAAATCACAGATGCAGAAGATAGAATCGCTGGCATAGAAAAATCCACTATGAAGACTGAGAATATTGTCCAAAAACATGAGAATACTATATGAGAAATACTAGATACCATCGAACATCCAAAAATCTGGATAATTGGTATTCCAGAAGTGGAAGAGACCCATAAGGGCACGGACAATCTATTCCATGAAATCCTGGAAGAAAACTTTCCAAACCTACAGAAGCACTCAAAGATCCAGTCCCAAGAAATAAAGGACCCCCAATAGAATCAACCCAAGAAGAGCATCTCCAAGACACATTATAGCCAGATTGAGCAAAACCACAGACAAAGACAAGATTGGCAAGAGAGAAACGGCAAGTTATCTACAAGGGATATCCCATCAGGCTGACAGCAGATCTGTCATTAGATATAATGTGAGTGAGGAAAGAATGAGAAAATATATTCAAACTGTTAAGGGAAAAACAATTGCAACCATGGACACTATACCCAGCAAGATTATCCTTCATATGGGAAGAAAAGACAAGAACATTCTCAGATAAACAAAATCTGAAAGAATTTACTAACACCAGACCAGATCTCCAAGAAATTCTGCAGCGAGTGCTATTCTAGGAAAATTAAATACACTCACACAGAAATAAGACTTCAAAAACTAAGAAAATGGCCAACTTAATTGTGTGGACAAGTCTGGAGTTGAATATTATATCCCAGAATTTAATTGGGAAAATTGAATCACAACAAAAAATAAAGTACATGAGACTGAACTGGTGAAATAGAATTTTACGACTTTTGACTAAAACATTGTTGATTTTTTTTTTCTAGGCTTTGTTTTCCCGATTTTAAGGATTTGGGTCTTGTCTTGAGCTGCCGATAGGTTCATGTACCCACTATTTGAGAACAGAATCCCAACCTGTTTCCTGGCTTTCAGTTTTAAGCATATTTCCTTAGCATTTCTTTGATTTATTAAAGTTAAATCTGCCTTTCTTGAAATTAAAAAATATAGTAAAAATACGTAATTAATGACCATAGTATACTACATAGCATCAGCTAGGTGCTACCTTATAGTGTATTCATTCTACTCAGAGTTTCATGCCTTAAGTAAGACATGTATTCATAGATATGTATATCTCAGCAGAGCTTGCTATTGAAAGTAGTTAGATTATTTAAGAAATTTTGTGAATCAATAAAATGTGGGGAGAAAAAAGGAGAAAATACATATATACCGATTGTGTGCTATAGCAGAAACTGGAAGTCTGTAAGGTACAGAAGCTGAGAAGGCAACGGTAGATATTAGAGAAAGTGAAGAGAGGGGTAATATGGGGGGAGGGTAATGGAAGGAGGGAGGGAGGGGAACGGGGAAAGGAAAAAAGGTATGTTGAATGACAAAAAAATGAAAAGCTATTTGCTGATGGTTATATATAGTAATGTCTTCATCTCTTGACTGATACACATCATATTCATGCTAGAAAAAGCAATGTTGTACACTGTAAAGATGAATGTGATTAAATGTAAATTAAAATAATTTTTAAAAAGAAAAATAAATAAATAAATCTCTTACCAGATTTCTCTCCCAAACACCAAATTTGTATAAGCAACTGTCCTATAAGAAGTTCTCTCAGGCAGTATCCAACCTCTTTACTCTTAACCTCTACTTCTTTCTTTCTCCGTGAATAATATCACTCACTTGTAAGTCATTTTCACATTCAGTCAATCACAAAACTCTATCAACTCTACTTACTAAGTATCTCTCAAATCCATCCATCTCTTTCCATCTGTACTTTGGCTACCACCTTCATCCAAACCATCATTCTACCAGGAACTAACAATAACTTCCTGACTCGCCTGGTACACTCTGATCTCCTCTGACCTGTTCTCTGCACTGTGGCTGAAGTGACTTTTTTGAAATCTGTAATTTATCATGCTAGTCCACTATTTGGTGTTCATCTGCTCTAGTATGAAACTAGAAGTGTCTCTTTTGAGCTAAGGACTACATTTACCCAAAATGAAAAGAAAACAATAGAATTTGAAGAAGCAACAGTGAGTTGGCTGTGGATACTCACCTCCTGTCCTGTGGCCACGTCCATTGCAGTGTACACAGTGCCCGAAGCACTGAAAAGTAGGGGAGAGAGAAGGGAAAGAACCGGTGTTCAGTAAGTGGTATTTGTCAAATGCAGCTCTACGTACAATCTGCAGTGTGTGAATAATAACAGAGGCAAAGTAAGCCCCCCTCCTTGTAACTTTCCCATTTTCGTATTTGAGAGGCAATATGTGGTGGGATAAAAAGAAAATACTACACTGAGCAGGTTATTTAACTTCTCTAAGCTTTTCTTTTCTTGGTTAAGAAGTGAACATAAAAATACAGAATTTAAATCAATTAATTCATGTGACACAGTTAGCCAAGGAACCCTAGGGAGAAGTGCAGAATGAGATGGAAGAGACGGCTTATAATTTATCAAAAAGAGATAGGAAGTTCAGTAACATTCTCTTTCTTAATCTGGCTGCTGGTTACATAGGCTATATTCACTTAACAAAAATTCTTTGAGTTGTACACTTACGTATGTTATCTTCAATTAAAGTTTACATTAAAAATTGTAACATTTGGGGAACCAGCAGTTAGCGTAAAGGCTATGTCACTAGACTCCCACGTAGTCGACCTCAGTTCGCATCCCAGACCCGGTGGCTTAAAACTCACGCCGGGCGCGTGTGCGTGCGTGCCCAAGATCCCGAGAGGAGAATGGAGGAGAAGGGATTGCGGCATGACCATCCCCCCTGGGGGGTGATTTCTCGCTTTCTGTCTCTATGTCTCTCTCTGTCTGTCTGGCAAGAGCACGCACCCTATAGGAAAAACCTCTCAAAACAAACAAACAAAAAAACTGTAACGTTGGGACCAACAGATGGCATGGTGATTATGTCACTGGACTCCCACGTGGCTAACCATGGTTCAAGTTTCAAGGTGGCTTGAAACTCACACTGGGCATATGTGCATGTGTGCCCAAAATCCCAAGAGAAGAATTGTGGAGAAGGGATTGCAGCATGGCCATCCTCCCTGGGGAGTGATTTCTTGCTTTCTGTCTCTCTGGCAAGTGCATGTGCTCTACAGGAAAAAAATCTCTCTTTGAAAAAATGTAAAAACCCTGTAACTTTAAGTAAACTGTAGAAGTTTGAGGAACCACACATAATAATCTAAAATAATCTTAAAATTCCCTTTCTACTCTGATATTATATCAGTTTGACCCTCTGAAATGGTGCTTTTCAATCATTTATCCTACAAAGAGGATGTGCGCATTTTATTTTCTGTAGTTGGTTTTATAAAGTAGGCTTTTAATTTTCATTTTGCAAACACACTCCCAGAAAATCTACTACCACTTCTTCCTATACTCCCAAGTTACGAATACCCTGCTAGACATGTATGTGCACATTTATGTACATTTATGTATGTATGTACACATTCACATATACAGACAAGGAGAAAGAGTGGCGGGGGAGAGGGGAAGGAGACGAGGAGGAAGGGAGGGATGCTAGAAACAGTGCTAGGAATGCCATCATGTTCATGTGCAATAGCCAAAACCTTCATTTTATACCTATAAGCACGTGGGAGTGAGAATTTACAATCCGTATTTGTATATGCCATATGTCAGGTATATACAATGCAACTCCAAGAAATGTAAAATGTTGGTTTATTGCAAGAATGCATTCTGGACAAGCCCTGAGATTGTGCTTCCAGGAGAAGTCAGGTTAATTCAGGGGGAAGGTCACTTGTAAGTATGCCCCGCAGCTAGAAGTTATGGTCACGAGCTCCCTAACCACCACTTTTCAGCTATGTGCCCAGAAACTGTGATCATAATGTATCATCTATCATTTAAGATTAGATTATTTGCACTGCAAATAATAAACTCCTCCACTCCATGATCATCCTACCCCTAGCCACCTTCAGCCATAAAGTTAGTGTCCACCTTCCTCTCCCCACCCTGCACTGATCTTCCTCCGTACCAGATGCAATGTCCCTTTTTTTTTTTTTTTTTTTTTTTCATTTCACTCGAAGCCAGTATGGGGGAAGAGAGCCAACCAGAGCCCATTACCAGCTCCCTAGACGAGCTATTCTTAAAGGACAAACAAGCCCAAGCCTCAGGAGCCTTGACATCTTGAGATTGGGTCTCTGTAATTACAAAGTTCTGAAAACTAGCCGGGCCCGCTGTCTAGTACTTGATTACTTTTACCTGGAATAGATAAATGACTAGACATACAGATTCCAGGTCCAAAAGAGCAGCAATCTTCAGGTAAAAAGGGTAAACTGTTAAAAGGGAAAATGATGCAAGCAAAAATTATAATAGTGCCTATTTGTCACACTGGCATTTATATTTTTAAATTATGGAATGTGGAAATAAGAGCACTGGTGTTTAATAAATATTTAATTCTTCCCTTAGCACTAACAGACCTGTCAAGAAAGCAATGAAAGAAGTAGATGTTGAGTACCTACAGATCGCACACATCTCTAATAAAAAACAAAACAAAACAAACTTGAAAACAAGCTTGAAAAAAGACACCACACACATGTGCGCATGCCCAGTATTCTCATGGGATGAAAACTTGCAAGAAAAAGTGTTACAACTCTATTGGGGGTTCTCTCTCTCTCTCTCTTGCATGTGTACATGGCCTTTAGCATTAAAAAACAAAAACAACAACAACAAAAAACTAACATGAATTTTGGAAGTGAAAAGCCCTCAAATCCACAAACCCTCTGCTTAGATTTACAAATGAAGGGGAACCAGCTGTTGGAATAATGGCTATGTCGCTGGACTCCCATATAGTCAACCACAGTTCAAGTCCTGGACCTGGTGGCTTAAACTCACACCAGGAGTGAGTGCGAGCATCTCCAAGATCCTGAGAGGAGAATGGAGGAGAAGGGATTGCAGCGTGGCCATTCCCACTGCGCGGTGACTTCTCGCTTTCTGTCTGTCTCTCCCTTGTCTTTCTGGCGAGTGCACACGCCCTATAGCAAAAACCTCTCCAAAAAAAATTTACAGAGAATGGACCTGACTGGTTCAAACTTGTCCATGCACCTTTCTGCTACATTTCTAATCTCTCAATTTAACAAAAAGAGATGCCATCCCATATTACTCTAAGGCAGGTACTTTTCAAGGTGTTAAGTGTCTTATACCAGCTCAAGCTAAACAGAAACATATCTAGAAGAAAAAACACTGGAACCGAGAAAAATATGAGATCCACTCAAGTCTAGAGTTGTTTTGAGGATTAAACAGGGCAAACTACAGTATGCTGAATGAACAGTCATTGTTTATAGAGAGATGTAATCTGCACAAATCTTTGGTGTACAGTGTGATGGCTTCTCGCATATGCAAACACCCATATGCTTACCACCAAGGTCACTCCCATTTCCCTTATGCCTCTTCCCACTCCACTTCTCCCTCCCAGGGATAACCATTCGTCTTGATTCTATTAGCGTATATACAAAGGAACTTCAAAAAGCTCAGGGAAAAATAGAATTAAAGTACAAGTTTATTTTGGTGCAAAAAATGTTGAAATCCACGTATAGTTTTTTCATAATACGTTTTACATGAGCTTTTTGAAGAACCTTCATATTAGTTTTGCCTATTCGTGAACTTCATATAAATAGATACATACAATATTTGGCTTTAGGGGGAATTTTTGTTTGTTTTTCAGTTTTTGCTATAGGGCACATGCACTTGCCAGAGAGGCAGAGAGAAAAAAAGAGAGAGAAAGTGAGAAATCCTCCCCCACCTCGAGGATGGCCATACCACAATCCTTTCTCATCCATTCTCCTCTAGGGATTTTGGGCCTATATGCCTGGAGTGATTTTCAAGCTGCTGGGTCCAGGACTTGAACCACAATGTAGCTATGTGGGATTCAGCCCCCTTAACCTCCACACCACCTGCCAGCCCCACAATCTGGTTTCTATCTGGCTTCTTTTGCTCAAAATAATGGTCAACACTTCTAAGAGTTATCATAGAACATTATAATTGTCTGTCTGCCTGTATAGCTCCGTCTGTCAACCTGAGGTCCTTGAAGACAGACTTCACAGCTATATTCACCATGCCTAGCATACGACAGAAACTCAGTGGAGGTCTGCCCAGTTCAGCACAGAGGACAGCATATAAGATGCAGAGAAGGGAACAGCGAGTAGGAGTCATGAAGCTGGGCCTCCACCTAGACAAATACACCAAATTACACCGGCCAAAGGTCTATATTTCTGTGCCTTCAATCTCCTATCAGTGCTGGTAGGTGTCCGGCTCGGGCAAACAGGGCTGATCTGGACCAGCAAAGTGTGGTTTGGGAGGCTGGCTTTGTGCTAAGAAAATAAATGGGTCTCCCATTCTCACTGCAGGGGTATTTTTAGCAACGTGGTCAGTTAATGGCCCATCTCTCTTATTAAGCATAATTCTGCCAAACCTAAAGCCTAACACAGTACCTTCAAGGGGTGTGGGGTGAGGTGGAGAAAGTGAAACAAGGTTTATGAGAGGCAGAACAAAAGCAAAAGCATATATGGTGGCACACACAATTGTACGTCATTTCTCCAGGTAAACGCCCCTACTAACCCTTGTCCAATCTTCTCAAACCGTGTATATTTCTTCTTAGGATCGCCCACACTCACTATGCTCCCTTTGAAAGAAAGAGAGACCGTGAATCATTTTTCCCAGATCAAGATAAAAAAAATAAAAACAGGCCCCATGCTCCTCCCCCAGCCCCTGAAGTTGGCAAGGATCAAAGAACTACCTCCACTGCCCAAAAAGCTTACTAAGCAGGCCCTTAGACTCCCCCCTATAAACCCTGACCGACCTAAAGTGTCATCTCCTTGACTACTTCTCTTTATAGTAACCTATTCCATTTCTAAACTCCTAAAAGCCATTCATTCCTTCTTCAACTCATTCATTCAGTAAACATTTGCTCATTTTTATTTACCAAGCTATGGAGAGTGCTAGGAAGAGGGATGGATGAGACACAGCTAAGACAGTCTCTGCTCTCCAGGAGCTTAATCTCGTGAAGGAGAACAAGTGTAAAGTTCCCTAAAAATATAATAATTGCTGTGCTAAACCCAAAGATTACAAAAGAGGTAGAAAAATGCAGATGGGAAAGGCTTCAGAAAGGTGATATCTGAGCCGCTTTCACAGGATAAGGAGGAGAGAAAGTAGGGAAATGTCTGCTGCAAGAAGACTTCAAATGCAAAGGCACAGATGTGAGAGCTCACAGGTTTCATGACTTGGATTCTAGAGGTGGGGAAAGCAGGCCCATAGAAGGGGAGATACTTCCCCAAGGTCACAAAGCAAGCTGGTATCAGTGAACAGGAGCTTGGTTTTTAGTCTCTTGGTCCCGTGTGCTTTCCACTAGTACTAATTACTAGAATTGGGTACTTTCCACATACATTACCTCAACTGATTTACAAATGGGATGGGTGTTAACGTCCCTACTTAAAAGAGAAAAAAGAGGCTCAGAAAATGGTAGGCAATTGCCCAAGACGCCAGGGCAGAGGTACAGCTAGAGCTTCCACCCAAGTGTCCCAACTTCCAGGCCAGTCTGCTTTCCATAATTCTAAGCATTACTGTTTAAAATTTATTTTTCAAACATTTATTCACTTATTTTTCTATCTATCTGTTGTGATTTTCAAGCTGCCAGGTCCAGGACTAGAACCATAATAGGCCATGTGGGAATCCAGTGCCTTCATCACCACGCCACCAACTGCCCCACTGTTTAAAATTTAAAAATCCAATTTAGGGAACGAGACTACCTACAGACGATAAATAGGTAAGTGAGTGGCTTTTCTTACTTCATCATTTTAGGAGGACTTGGAACAAGGGTAATTTTTGAGTAAGGTTTTTATTTTTTTTGGAGAGATTTTTGATATAGGGTGCGTGTGCTCTCTGGAGAGACAGAGAGACAGAAAGCGAGAAATCACCCCTCAGGGGAGATGGCCACATTGCAATTCCATCTCCTCCATTCTCCTCTCAGGATCTTGGACATGCACGCACACACGTCGGACATGAGTTTTTAGCTGCCCGATCTGGGTCTCAAACTGTGGTTGATTTTTTAAGTCAAACAAGGCCCAGCCCGGTGGCACAGTCCACAGTGAACTCAGGGCTGGAAGCCACATGGTTGACCAGGAGTTCAGACCCCAAGGCCAATTTGAAAACACACCAGGCAGGTATGCAGGCCCTGACATCCTAAGGAGCTGGTGGGCTGAGGAAAAGGGACCACAGTGTTGGGAGACCCACCCAAGGTGCTTTCTCTCTCATGTGTGTACGCATTATCATCAAAAAGTTTAAACTGGAAAAAAAAAAAAAAAAAAAAAGTCAAGAGCCAGTGGGTGAGGTTGTGGTTGAGTGGTTAAGGTGGCTGGATCCCACATGGCTGACTGCACAGTTCAGGTCTCAGACCCAGTGGTTTGAAATTTATGCCAGGTATGTGTACATGCCCAAAATCCCGAGAGAAAAACAGAGAAGGGACTGCAGCATGGCTATCCCCCTGGGGGAGTACTTTTCTCTCTCTTTCTCTGTCTCTCTCCAGTGAGTGCACATGACCTGTGGCAAATTTTTAAAAAGTCCAACAAGAGGCCCAGCTATGGTGACATGTATTAGGTGGCTACTTAGCAAGCTGAGGCCACATAGGGACATGGGTTCACTCCCCTGCCCACCCTAAGAAGGTGGGGTATAGCAGTGCACCCCTATAATGCCAACTACTCAGGACACGAGGCAAGAGATCACGAGATGGTGAGGCCCTGTCTGAAAATACAGCACATAAAGACACACACGAAGTCAAACCATAATTATCAGGAAAAATGAAAGCGCTGCTAAACCAGAGAACCAGAAACCTCTACTTAGAAAGCAATGCCAGTGTGCAGACTTGGCCGAATTAGTCACATCGAATACTTTCTGGAAGGAAGGAAGTTCAGCGAGTAAATCAAGGGCCTTTTCCCAAGCCCGCAGATCAGTCTAGTCTTTCCTCCTAATATAATTTTCTGAAGGTTACTGAAGCACAGAAACAAGCAACCCAGATACATCCCCATTTCTGGCTACTGAAGAAATTAAAGTGGGAGTTTCCGCCTGACAGCAAGGGGCAGCAGGCTCTAGGTACAGGAGCCAGAGCCCACGTTCTAACCTGAGCCCTGACACTTACGAGCTGTGTGATTTGGGGCAGTTTTCATCTCAGAGCCTCGATCACCTTCACGTCAAAAGTGAGGATCGTAATGCCTCTCTTCACTGGGTTAATATGAAGATTAAGTGGAAAAACATCAAGAAAATATATTGCTTGTCACTTGGTACACAGTACAAGTTCACAAAATATTAGTTTCCTTTCCTCCTTTTCCTACAAACCAGATGTCTGCCCTGTCTTCTAAGTCAATGGCAAACATCAATAATCATTCACAAACAATCCTTCGCACGAGCAACACACAGGCTTCTGTCTTTCTCACCACAACATTCTAGACTATTCTCTAGATAAAAGCTATTTGTCATCTCCATAATACGCGCCTAGGGGAGGGGGTATCCTGCCCCCAAGGTAACCTATTCACATTCTCCCCATGACATCTCCAACCTGACTTGGTATCCAACCAGGGCTAGAGAGGAGGGAAGGGGCGGGCGGGGTGGGAGTGCAGGGACGGAGGAGGCGCACAGTCTGTGGCAAAGGTACCAAGTGTGGCCAGCCAGCCACATGACCGGCCTACGACCAGGACCTTGGCAGCAGGGGGATTCTATCTCTGTGCTGACCCAGTCATAGACCAAAGGAATGTTCAGAAAGCTACTAAGTGCTTACGTAATTTCTCCAAGATCTCCTCATCAGACATTTTGGGCTTCTTCTTCTGCTTCTCAGTATTCCGGGTCAAAGCGTCTGGTGGAGTGGTGGTATTCTCGGTGGGAGAAATGGGAGATGTGGCTACATCCCGAGTGGGAGTAACAGGAAGTGGCTCGATCACAGACCGCGTATAGACCTGCAAAGGCACAACCTTTGTTAGCATAGAGGACTCTCTCCTACACGTGGGGTTAGACCATCCACAGAGCAAGTCCTCCCCAACCACCCTTCCTCCTATGTCCAAAATCTGTCTCACTTCTCCTCTGCCCACCTCTCTGGGTGGGATAATCCTCCTTGCTGTCAATGTATACAACAGGAGTGAGAGTCTTGGCACTGAAGATCCTCGATAGAGGCTATCCAACTCGGGGCAAATTAGTGAGAGAGATTCTGGCACTACATGGGAACTCCTTTCATCTGAACCATTCTATACTCCCCCAGCTGAAATAAGTACCCTGTGTTTCCATAGCACTTTGCACTGCTAATATAACACTTAATATCATGTTCCATTGAGTGACTCCCTCTCTAAATCCTGACCCTTGCAGAAAAGGAGCTACTCTTATTCTTCTAGGGGCAGTGCGATGTAGTGATTTAGAAGGCAGATTCTGAAACCCGACTGTTTGGGCTTGGATTCCCATCCTTACTCTTAACACCTGTGTGACTTTGGGCACGTTACTCAACTTCTCTGTGCGTCAGTTTCCCCATCTGTAAAGCGGTGGCAGCCATGACACCTGTTGTACGGGGTTACTGTAGGAATAAACTGTTTACCATGTGTGAAATGGCTGGAGTCATGCAGGGCAGATATTAAGCACTCAAGTTTTAGCTTTTAAAAAGACTGTATTTCCTGTTAATGCATTTACTTAACAAACATGTACTGAGAACCTATCCTTCGCTTCAGCCTGTACAGAATGCCGCTCCCATCCTCTCATTCTTTTTTTTTTTTTTTTATTGTTTTATTTTTGGAGAGGTTTTTTGTTTTTTTTTTGCTATAGGGTGTGTGCGCTCACCAGACAGATAGAGAGAGACATAGAGACAGAAAGCGAGAAATCACCCCCCGGGGGGATGGTCACGCCGCAATCCCTTCTCCTCCATTCTCCTCTCGGGATCTTGGGCATGCACGCACACGCGCCCGGTGTGAGTTTTAAGCCACTGGGTCCGGGATGCAAACCGAGGTCGACTGCGTGGGAGTCCAGCAACATAGCCATTACGCTAACTGCTGGTCCCCACATCCTCTCATTCTTTTTTTTTTTTTTTATTGTTTTATTTTTGGAGAGGTTTTTTGTTTTTTTTTTGCTATAGGGTGTGTGCGCTCACCAGACAGATAGAGAGAGACATAGAGACAGAAAGCGAGAAATCACCCCCCGGGGGGATGGTCACGCCGCAATCCCTTCTCCTCCATTCTCCTCTCGGGATCTTGGGCATGCACGCACACGCGCCCGGTGTGAGTTTTAAGCCACTGGGTCCGGGATGCAAACCGAGGTCGACTGCGTGGGAGTCCAGCAACATAGCCATTACGCTAACTGCTGGTCCCCACATCCTCTCATTCTTTTTTTTTTTTTTTATTGTTTTATTTTTGGAGAGGTTTTTTGTTTTTTTTTTGCTATAGGGTGTGTGCGCTCACCAGACAGATAGAGAGAGACATAGAGACAGAAAGCGAGAAATCACCCCCCGGGGGGATGGTCACGCCGCAATCCCTTCTCCTCCATTCTCCTCTCGGGATCTTGGGCATGCACGCACACGCGCCCGGTGTGAGTTTTAAGCCACTGGGTCCGGGATGCAAACCGAGGTCGACTGCGTGGGAGTCCAGCAACATAGCCATTACGCTAACTGCTGGTCCCCACATCCTCTCATTCTTTTTTTTTTTTTTTATTGTTTTATTTTTGGAGAGGTTTTTTGTTTTTTTTTTGCTATAGGGTGTGTGCGCTCACCAGACAGATAGAGAGAGACATAGAGACAGAAAGCGAGAAATCACCCCCCGGGGGGATGGTCACGCCGCAATCCCTTCTCCTCCATTCTCCTCTCGGGATCTTGGGCATGCACGCACACGCGCCCGGTGTGAGTTTTAAGCCACTGGGTCCGGGATGCAAACCGAGGTCGACTGCGTGGGAGTCCAGCAACATAGCCATTACGCTAACTGCTGGTCCCCCCATTCTCTCATTCTTGCGAAAGAAAAAAGAAGTCATTACTACAGGGCAGAAAGCTCTAAGTATAAAAATTACCATCACGAGTTACAGAGTGTCTCTCCCCCAGAAGACACTTGTCGGCATTTATCAGAGTTTATCACAAAAATATCACAATTACCTTCTGGTAATCAGAATAGGGAATGTACATCATTCTTCTGGAGTTTTTCATCTGACCACTAGCCTAACAAAAAGCAAGCACTTGGGGGAACCAGCAGTTAGCGTAATGGCTATGTCGCTGGACTCCCACGTAGTCTACCACGGTTTGCGTCCCAGACCCGGTGGCTTAAAACTCACGCCGGGCGTGTGTCCATGCGTGCCCAAGATCCCGAGAGGAGAATGGAGGAGAAGGGACTGCGGCATGACCA